CCTCCAACTCCTGGGCTCAAGCGAGTCTCCTGCCTCAGCCTCCCAAGTAGCTGGGACCACAGGCGCCCGCCACAACGCCTGGCTATTTTTTGGTTGCAGCTATCACTGTTGTTTTTGGCGGGCCTGGGCTGGATTTGAACCCGCCACCTTAGGTGTATGTGGCTGGAGCTTTAGCCACTTGAGCCACAGGCGCCGAGCCACCTGTTCTTATTATTTGTTGAAGTTTGTGTCCTGGAGAATAAGTATCATAGTCTGTGTTTTGTCTTTACAGGAGCAGGAAAATTCAGATTCGAAACATCCCCCCTCACCTGCAGTGGGAGGTAAGCCAGCCTTACTTTTTAATGGGTTAGCAAGGCACTTTCTTCCCTTTGTTCCCTTTTTTTACGTTTAGGAATTAGCTGTCTCTGAGACTTTTCCAGAAATTCTCTGTGTCCTATTTCTTCCTTTTTCAGTACCCTAATTGAAAACTTTATCTGTCGTGATTTGGGTGTTGTATTTGTTCCTTTCTGCCGGAATGTGTGCCCTTTGATCTCTCTTTTGTTTTCCCACATACCAGCAAACAGGCTGTGAAACAAAATGTTTACCTGGTTTCTGATTTTTATCTCATGATTTTTAAAATGATTTTCATCTTTCCAAATTATGATTTTAAAAAAATCAATGAAAAACTTGCAAAACTAGAAAATTCTTGGTTTTTTTGAGCAGATTTGTTTGTTTCTTTGAGTTAGTTGCTATGAGTAACAGTTAAAATTTGTTTTCAGAGTTGTAAAACTTATGAATAAGATTGCTAGCGTGGCTGGGAATGGCTTATGCCTGTAATCCTAGCACTCTGGGAGGCTGAGGCAGGAGGATCACTTGAGCCCAGGGGTTTGAGGTTGCTGTGAGCTACAACGCTACGGCACCCTACCCAGGGTAACAGGGAGACTCTGCCTCCAAATAAAGATTGCTACCTTAAAATACAATTCAAAAAATGAGGAGTGGCCTAATTGCATTATTTAAAAAGAAACTGCCCAGTATTTTCTTCTCCAACCCAAAGAAAATCAATATGACCTTTAAGGAAACAGTGTTCTGTTAACATTTTCATTACTTGTTAAAAAAATGTTTTATTTTGGTAAATTTCAAACATCTGCATCATAGTACTTTGTAAAATAAGGAGTTCCCTGGGAGGAAAAGTGGAGGATGAATTGTTATATCTCCCAAGAAGTAGATTGTATTTTATCCTGCTTCTCCTATCAAGAGCAGTAAGTAGGTCCCAACCATCGTGATGACTGTGATTGCTAACAGTTACTCAGACTTTGAAATTCTGCTGTGCCACTTTAATGAATAGATTACTTGGGAGCCTATAAGCAAATCAAAGTCCCATGCATTTATTAATTTCTGTTTTTTATAGAAGACCTGAAATAACAATTTAATTAGGTTACTCCTGTAACTTTTTTTTTTTTTGCTTTAATTCATTTGCTGGAGCATATCACTGCCATGTGTGTGATATTTTGGGTTTTTTGAGACAGCGTCTCAAGCTGTTGCTCTGGGTAGAGTGCCATGGCGTCATAGCTCACAGCAACCCCCAACTCTTGGGCTCAATCCTCTTGCCTCAGTTTTTCTATTTTTAATAGAGACAGGGTCTTGCTTTTTGCTCAAGCAGTCCTCCCTGCTCAGCCTCCCAGAGTGCTAAGATTATAGTCACCATGCCCAGCCTATGAATGTTATCTTATCTTCCCATTCTGACATTGACTCTGTCTCTTTCAGGTGTTAGATGGACTTTTGGCTCAGTATGGGACAGTGGAAAACGTGGAACAAGGTAATAAGTAAGGGAATTGGTGTGTTGAACTTTGGAGAGAGATATTACCTGTTATTTCTTATAGGCTGGGTCAACAGGGAGAAACTGTACATTCGTGTTCCTTTGAAACAATCTTCCTAAAGTGTATGTGTTTGTATATCTGCTTGTGAGAGAAATCTATGTCTTTCTCTTTATATCTGTATAGTTTATTATTTTGAGGAATATGACTTTCGGGCTATTTTTCTTATACCCTACAATGTACTCAAGCACTGAATAAGCACCATCAGGCTGGGTGCCATAAGCTTAATTCACTAGGAGTAATTGGACTTATGTTCTTGCTGCTTTCCTCTCTGAATTAGAAAAACATATGCTTCATGTCTTAGACTGAGTGTTTCCCAAGGATTAGGACTTTTACAGCAAGAATCCCTATGTATACTTGGGATAATTCAGATTCCCAGGGCTTTCCATACACGTACTCAGTAAGAGTCTCTCGGGGAAGAGCTTATGAATCTATATTTAAAACAAGCACCTCAAAGTGATTTTTATGTGCACTCAAGTTTGAGAACCACTGTCTCAGGAATAGTGCTGCAAATGCCCACAAAATATTTTTTCTCCTGCAGCCCTCATTTCTATCTTGTAAAGCAGAAATGCTGTGATTTTCTTTTGTTGTTTAAAGGGAGAGATACCTGGAGGTCGTATCTTATGTAGCTCTTTGAGAATCCTGGAGAAGTAGATTCCAAGCTCCTATGTGACAGGCAGTAACATGTGATAAAGATTATTTTTGCCTTGGCCTGGAAACCAGAATGTAAATTCAGTCCCGTGAGTTTCCACATGTATAAAATGGGGAGAATAATTCCCATTCTTTCTCTGCACTGAAGAGTTGTGGCTCAGGAAGAGAACCTGTATGAGGCATTTGTAGACAGTGGAGTCATATACATCATAAAGGATTATGGTTCACTTAGGAAAAACATAGTGAACTGATTTTCTCATATGCAATCTGATTGTTCTGTCTGCCAGTATAATTAATACAATAATTTTAAAGCAGTAATTATTCAGTTGATTGCCACTCTATGTATATTAAAAAATATTATTATTCAATTTCATGCTGCTGCCTGCTCATGCCCAAAGGGAAAGGGAAAGAGCTCAGAAAGAAGACATGATTTACATGAATTCTATTTCTCAGACCTTATTTCCCTCAACATGGAAAAGAAGAGATTCTAATGATTGGATATAGTAGGCAAGATGGCCTTACAGACACAAACCCATAAAAGTTAATAACTAAGACCATGTTATAAATTCAGGACAGTGCTACTAAAGGAATGAGTATTCTAGGTCCCCGGGGCAGTTTACAGCTGCTAGGGCACCTGTGCCCTTAGAGGCCGTCCAGTTACCAGCTGCCTCACAGCTTATAGGACGGAACTGTTGAACTTTTGTTTTGTCCTATTTCATGGGAGATTCCTGATTTGGCAGAAAAACATTTTCAGGAGAGTTTTAGGAAACTTGATAGAGCTTTCACGTCCAATGAAATAAACTATTTGAATGGATCTCAGCTCATTCCAGAATCAAAGAACTTCCTGATTTCCTGAAGACAGTCATCCTTGAAAAACAGAGTATATGACTAAGAAGTAAGAACAAAGTCTGAGAATCCTAGCGGATAGCTTTATTCAGGTTAAACCCAGACCTTTCTGGGAGTGTGCGGCTCATCTGTAGCACTAGAAAGCAGCAAATATGAAACCTCTGTAGCATTCTGCGTGTCAGTACTGCGAGAGGACGGTTGTGGGCTGCACACCCCTTGTTTTGCACTGTGAAGACTGGGTAAGTGTGAATTAGAGGGCACTGTGGACAGGCCTGGGCAAAGGCCAGGGCTGAGCTCAGGGCTGACTGTTCATGGCTCTCGGCGGCAGGTCTTTCTGAGCATCATGTACTCCCTTACCCCAGGTGCCCTAGGAGCTGTAAACCACCCCCAAAGGCTGCAGTTTGAAGTTATTGGACAAACAATATTTTTAACAGTGGTCTTTAACCTTTTTGGTGTCCCAGGTCCCTTTTAAGAATATTATAGAAATTATGAACCACAAACTTGAATAAGTTGGGAAGGGGATATTTATGGAATTCCTAAAGCTCAAGGATGGGTTCAAGGTTAAAAAACCCTACTTGGTAGGGTTTTATTATTACCTAGAAAAGCAGCTGTATCATGATTTTCTTGAATTTTTCTTAATGTTGTAGTGCTTTGAATCTCCCAACAAGTTAAATATTTTAAAGGGAGAATTTCATTCTAGTCACATCTGGTCTTTTTTTTGGGGGGGGGGGAGCAATTATTTTTGGTGTTTATATTTTTGGGGTTACATTGAGAAAGTTTTATCTCTATTTTTGCTTTTATTGTTATTTTCTGACTATGGAAGAAGAAGCAAGCACTTATGAACAAAGATAAGCCAGTTCACAAGAGTAATCCCTTGTTAGTCAGTCTTAGAGTTTGCATGTTTTATTCTTTAGCCAAGTAAATAAGAATAGTCAGTTTTCTTTACTGAATGTGCACAGTTACTAAATTTAACTCACATAGTCAAGGAGTTCAGTCAAAGGGAAACAGAAATAGTAATGATCCAGTCTTGTCAATAGATGAAAAATTAAACACTTTATTATTTTATACATATCCATTTATTGTCAGTACGAATCATAATTAAAACTCTTAACTTAATAGTGGTACAGTGAATTGATCCAAATCTCTATAAGAGCAATCTGAAAACACACATTAATAAGCATCATGGGCTCGGTGCCTGTGGCTTAAGTGGCTAAGGCGCCAGCCACATATACCTAAGGTGGCAGGTTCGAATCCAGCCCAGGCCCGCCAAAACAA